GGGGCCCGGGGGGAGGCGTGCACCCGCTGGGTGCGCGCACTTGTTTCTTTCAGAGAAAGGAGACCTGCGTGGCTTGTTTTGCGTCTGGCAGGATGCTGGCTCAAGACCCACTCCTCTAACAAGGACGGCCTCCCGCCTACGAGGGGTCTGCACGTGCACTCCCCCCAGCCACCACGTAGTCACTCAGGCGTGAGCGAGGCTGCTGCTGTGCCAAGACCTTCCTCCCCGGGGAGAGTTCGGGTAAGCCAGGCTGCGTGGGTAGGAGGGCCAGCCAGCCCACCCTGCGAAACATGCTGCAGCAAGGCGACTCCAAAATGAGACGGGGGGCAGCGGGGGTGTTCTACGTGTCCTTACGTTTCAAGAAGCCAGAGACGGACACGCTCAGCAGGGATTGCTTTAATGATGTAACGTTGCCCTTTTCAGCATCCCTGCTTGTAGGTCTTTGGTGGGTTAAACTAAATCACTGCAGAACCAGTGGGCCGAACCTCAACATTGCTCTTAGGTGCCCTACAGTTGCCTGGCTGGGGGAACCTTGGCCTATGACCTATGAACCTATGACCTTGGCCTACAGCGCAGGTTATCCCATTCACAGTGTTCCTCTAGACAGGATGGGGTTGGGGTGGTAGGGTTAAAGAAGACCAGGTTATGCACAGTCACCCAACACTAAGCGCTTATGAATGACACTTCCCACAGAAGGACACCAATAACAGAGAACCCGGTTGAATGTGCAGGTGAGGTAGATCCACAAATGGCACGTGGCATTTATCAGTAGTTGTGGTCTCTGCTTGGACCATCCTGCCAGGCACAGCGCGCCCTCGGCTCCCCCTCCGCCCCCAGTTCCTTGCGACAGTGGCAGCGGGCCAGAGCAGGGCACAGGACCTGGGGCTAAGTGAAGATAAGGGCAACTACTACAGCACAGGACTGGGTCTTCAAGGAGGGGCTCGAGCTCATCTTTTTTCCATTTTCCAGCCTGTCTGAGAGCTGGACACGTACAGTGTAGGTGGTGAGCGCTGACATAGTTGAGGGTTATCCCTGAACAAAACCCGCGTGTAATGTTGGGTGAGATGCAGACGTGCCACCAGTTCAGCCTTTCTGCAGCCGATTTCTCTCTCCCGCTCACTTCAGAGAGAGAAGGAGAAAACATGCTGCTTATCAAAATGATGGTAAGAGCTGCTATTTAGAAAACCAAATACCCTAAGTCAAAGCTTTATCAGTAACTATTCTTAGCGTCGATGTCATTCACAGCCTGGAGAATTCGGGGGACGACTTAAAATCAGCCTATCCCCATCCTTTCCCGTTAGTCACCGGTCAGTCAGGGGTACGTGTGAAAGGGGAAGGAAAGCGGGTGTTAAGAGTGGCCCCAGACCAGGCTGGGTGTGGAAGGGTGCAGCCTGCTCGGGGAGGAGGCTCCATGCTTGCCACACCCGTGGAGAGGCAGCCCCCCCCTTGTCCCCAGCGCCTGCCCTTGGGAAAAGAAACTGTTCCAAAGACATGCCATGAAGCTGCTCTGTACAGTGTGCGTATGATCTTTTTAAAAAAATGTTTACAAATATATATATTTTTAATACATGTATATGTATTTCTTAAATTCCATTTAGAAATGTAGCTAAAGAAAGTAGAAAAGCGCTAGCGAGAGTAGGCGTGAGACCAGCAGACTGCTGCACTTCCCACGTACGAAGGCACGAGTGTGGAGACGCGCCTGTGGTCAGGCCTGCAACATGGCGGTCTAACCCTGCTCCCTCACGGAGGTGTCCATGCGCCTTTGCACCCCTGCCCTTCACACCACGTAAATAAAGGAACGGTGACCTCCTACAGCCATGCTGATGCAGAGTAGTAATACTGTCTGTATTACTAATACCCTGGGCTCGGTGCCGGCAAGAGCAGTATTTGGCCTGCGGTAGGATTTGTGATAAAGAAGCCTGGCATCTTCTTAACATGATGCTCTCAGGCTGGAGGGATTAGAGCTCAGATCCTTTATTCACAGGGCCTGCTTCTCGTCTGTGTTCAGGTCCCTTTATGATACGTGGTCAGGACAAATGGTCCTCAAAGCCAGCGCAAGCATAACCTGTGCTCACATTAAGGCCCTAATACACCTCCAAAGCAGAGGAAGGGGTCATACCACAATTAAGAATTATGTCCTACATGATAAATGGAAGACATTTAGAATACCAGGCTATTTGGAAGATACTCTGTGATTTTTCTAACGTGCACAACACACTTCAAAATCACCAGGGATCAGCCTGTGGCCTGGATTTGCTCCTCGGCACGGTCAATTGCACCAATCCTTGTGCACGGCTTTCCGAGCGGTCCAGCATATGAGCTTAATTCTAGAGCTTCTCTTTGCCACTCCTCTTCGCCACAGATCACTCTTTCGCTTTTCAAAGGAAGCCTGCCTCTCTCTACAGATATCTACAGGAGGGGAAAGTAAGACTCTGAAGTACTGATGTAACATCAGCTGTATTACAATCTCAGCAGCTCTTTAAAGTAAGTGGCCAAGCATTATTAATTCATTGGTGCTCACTTTTACATCATTTATCATAACGAGCTACTGTGGTATCCATGTGGACGGAATGTGTATTTCCAAAGAAATTTCGTTGTGATTTATCAATTAATTAGCGGGCCGTTACACTTTATTAAAGTGTTACCCAGAGTCTTAAACATTCATTACTGCCTTCAGAGCAAATGCTTTAACTCCATCTCAGCCTACCAGTGTCTTGCAATCAGGCTACTCTGCCGAAAGCTCTCATTTGCTTTTCACGGTGTCAAGGACTGCAGAGGAGCGGTACCAAACAACCAAAAGTGAATTTGATCCCTCCGGCCTCATTCACCTGGCCACAGACAACGCACGTCACAGCATTTCTATGTCTTTGCTAAACGGATATGAGCAGGCAAGGGAACAGGGAGGGCTGCAGAGAAACCTCCCCTTGGTGGGGTTACCGTTGCTGAATTTCAGTGTCTTAAAAATCTGGTCGCAGAGAGCAGGTAAAAGCAGGAACCCAGGTAACTCAATAACTGCATGCACAAAAAAGCAGGCAAGCTCTGAGACATTTTCTCCTGAATGATCTCCACAGATGCGGGCAGGGGGGACAGCACGGGTTTGCAACATTCAGTGCCAGCTCCTCTGGAGAGGTAAGTCCATTGAATAGGGAGATTGAAGTAAGAACGGCAGTACCAGCTCTGGGAGCTGAAAGAGATCTGGCATTTTTATCATCACAGTAAGAAGTCACCAGTAACCGGGCCTCATCCACCTCTGACATTCTGCAGGCTGGCAGCTGTGCCACAAACATCCATTCTTTTGCCAGAACAAAGATTAAGAGAATTTGATTTTTGATTTCTCCACGCAATTCCTTGCATCTTTTTCTCTCCCAGCCTGCAATTTCTGGAGGGTGCACTGCCAGAAGCAGTGGTAGCTGACAGGTCAGTCTTAAAAAAGGGAATGTGTGCATGTGTGCAGGCCTAACAGCCATGTCTGTACAAGCCAATTCCTTGTTAATTGAGGTTTCAGCAGCTATTTATCAGAGGGGGGGAAAAAAACAGGTGAAGAAATGTTGATTAAAAAAAAAAAAAAGGCACAACAATAAAAGATGAGGCTATTGCATTTTGAACCAATGGCACTGTGTTAACAGCACGACCTTCCCCTTCCAAATCCCAGCCATAGCCCCTCCAATGGCTATGACACTGCCATTCTGAGAGAGAGGAGAGTTTGCCACTAACACAACATGGAGGAGGAAGCAAAACAGAACAGCAGCCCTTCCTGCTCCTCTCCCCCACCCCTCTCTCCCCAGCCCCCCAGTCCTGTGCTAAGAGAAGACCTGGCTATGCTGCTGGGTGACCCGGATAAATGTTGTTCTCCTGCTCAGTTCCTTGAGTTTGGCAGCTCCCACGTAGGTGCAGGTGGAGCGCAGCCCCCCGAGGATGTCCAGGATGGTGAGTTCCACATCCCCTCTGTACGGTACCTCCACAGTTCGGCCCTCCGAAGCCCTGGAGGAGAGATCGGTTACTGCATTTATGTCTAGATGCAAAACATAATAGTGTGTTTACTGGAGCAATGTGGAGCTTAATACTCTGCATGCTGCAGTTTACAAACGTTCCCCTCAGCTTTATGGCTTCCTTGCCTGTTGCTGCTTGGTGCTCTCAAGCACTGAAATGCCTCAACTCCAGTCACCACCAATACTGGGAACTAGAAGCAGACAAGTCTTGTAGATGCCCCAATAACCCATGAGTGTATTTACAGATCTGCCCCTTCCTCCCCTCCACCAGCTGCCTACAAGCAAGTGAAGCTTCCAGGTTTATTGAAAGGTAAATTTGACCTTGAGAGTTGCAAGCTTTAAACAATAAGGAACGGCCAGGCTCAGGCAACTTTTACAGAAATGTTGGAGCTGGTTCTCAGCAGCCACCACTCAGCACAGCTCTACGGAGGCTTCACAGCCCCTGGCTCTGTCCCATGTCACTGACCAGATGCAGATGGAAATGCTCTGGCTATCTCCTACCAGTCTGATTCTCCAGAGCCCACAGAGATGGAGTGGGAAACCCGTAACGGAAACCTGCTGCAGAGCTGTCCCCTGAAGCTAAAAGGTGAGCTAGCACAGTCAGAGCCAGGGAAAAAAGCCAGAAAAAAAGAGCAGTGCTGTGAATACTGTCAAGTACAGGCGCATGCCAGCACAGGCTGCACTGTTCCCAAAAGCACATCTGAAGAGTTACATGATGGAAGAATCCAGGCAAGTAACTTATACTCCTTCCCCTTCAGCTTTCTCCAGCCTCATGCTCAGCAATTCCTCCTGCAGTGGAGTTCCCCAATCACCAGCTGATCTCACCAGGCTTTAGAGCAAGCTTGTTCTGAATGCCACGCTAGATCCTTTGCAGAGGTGGCCTTGGGAAGGGGGGGGGTCTAAGAGAAATGCAGAGGGCAGTGGGGATTGCTCTCCTTCTCCCCTACAAAATGGAGGCAGAAATCGCGGCAGGGATCTGTCATTGTTGTAAATGTGGCTTTATTTACATCTCCCTTAAATGAGTTGTCTAGGGGATAGTGCAAGAAATAAAGGGCATGCCTGTTTGGAGGCTCCATTTGCAAATCATTAACAGCAGCAACAGCGGCTATGTGGAGGTACTTCAGTGTGAGCCTGGCTATATTTCATTCTGTTAGTTTAAATGTGTGGTCAAAGCCCTAGGGAGACAATAAAGGAGAAGTGTTAATATGCCATATGAATAAGGAACCATGATTAATCTCCCTACGTCTGATGAGTAATTGACTCTTTCTTGAAACTCTTAAATAAACACTGTAATAAGCGGCCAATGGAAAATGTATGTACCACCACCATCCAGCAGACTGCACGGGGCTCAGTGGGGTGTTGTAGGGCCTCTGCTGCTGGGAGTTCACAGGCTTTTATTTTCAGCTCCAGCACGAGCAGGAAGGGAAGGCCTGGCCCACAAAATGACACAAAAGCAGTCATGCTACCATTCTGCAGCTCGGTTTTCAGCCATGCCCACCTCCTCCAGTCAAAGTCGGGAGGTTCAGCTTGGCCTCTGGGGAGCTTCCCACAAGATTGTGAGAGACAACGCATGTCTGAGATTTGGGGAAACCAGTGCGAATTTTACCTACCAGATCCTGCCATCTGAAGAGCTTTGCATGCAGTATTGGGCAAGAAATGCAGGGTTTACTGCATTCATGCATGACTGCCCGTTCAGTTCACACATGAGAGTCCAATTAATTTATGCATGAATGCCCCATCAGTTCAAACATGAGTGCCCTGTTAATTCATGCTTGAGCATCATGCGGGGCGTAAATTGCAGGGTTTTGATAGCAGAGAGCTGATTGCAAACAAAGGCAGCCCCAGTTACAGTGGTTCCACAGACCTGCAGAGATGGGAACATCGCTCCCGAGAGCGCAAACACTTGGTGGTCCTTTTCTCAGAGCAGAATTACAGAAATGTGGAACACTTACAGCCGCTGCCCCTGGGAGGTGCCCCTGCAGTGGCTATGGTGGCGTTAGGAAGCTGGAGCTTGTGGGATGCCACTTTTGGCTTTGGAGACCAAAACCTACAGAAGTGGTGAACGCCTAACGTCACAGCCCCAAAGCTCTGACAGCTAGACAGTTGCTACTGCTCCTCTAGTATCAGCTGATAAGCTGGTGGGATGTCCTGTTGATCAAGTGGTACAGATGTACATACCACATACATCTGTATGGCTACAGATACCGTACTGGGGGAAGCATGCTGGAAGAGAGGTGTGAGATTAGCTCCACTGAAAATGCCGAGAGTCCAGTTTTATGTTCATTCTTGGAAAAAAGTGTCAAAAAGGGCTGAAAATTCTCCATGCTCCCACCCTACGTGCTGGGAATAACGGATGTTCCGGAGAAAAGGAGGAGCATAGGATGGAAGTGGGACAGAAATCTAGAGCTGTGAGTTAAGCAACTGCAAGCACAGCAAAAAGGTGAGAGCTTACTTAATGTTGTTACGGCTGTGGAGCAAGCCCCAAGGGACCGAAGCTGTTTGGTGTGTCATCTTACTCCTCAAATGGGGAAATGCCCATGCTGCTGCATGTGAACACTGTTCAGGCCCCCCATTTTGGATGTAAATGAAACCCTACAGCTACTGAACTCATGACCCTATTGGTACCTTCAACAGTGCTGTTAATTTTTGTGTGTACGGTCTTAATCATATGCTTCTATGCTAAAGCACAGCAAGTAACTTGAACTGCTGTTATGTTCTTGGCTGTTTGTTTTGAAGGGACAAGTCCTAAACTTTGTAGCAAGTATTCAGATTGTAATCTGAATGGTAATATAATCTGTAATGGTATATAACCAAACTGTGATGTTGGTTAAAGGTGGTAAAGCACCACCTTTAATGTGGTGCTCGGGATGGAGGAGTGACATTTTAGTAAGTGTACTGTTACAGTATTAATCCCTACTGTGTGGCCCAAAGGGAGGAAGAGTGGAGTTCATAACTGATGTACATTAAGATTGTGATGATGTTGAAAGAGTTCATAATGGATTAATATTCAAAGAGTTCTTCGCTATGTGCCTTGCAGAGGTGAGGAGTGCCATACAGGCCATAAATTGCTGGGCTTGCTGCATTCTTGTGTGAGCACCAAATCAGTTCATGCATGAGCTGAACAAAGTAATGCATGAGTGTCCAATTAATTTATGCATGAATGCCCAATTAATTTTTGCATAAACATCCAATTAGTTCATGCATGCATGCCCAAATAATTTATGTCCAAGCACCCTATTAGTACATGCATGAGCGCCCAATTTGTTAATGCATGAGCACCCAGTTAATTCACACGAGCACCCAGTTGTTACACACAGGGGTGCTGTGTTGGGCATATATGGTAGAGTTTGGGTAGCAAGGGCTGCCGGTGTGACCTGTGTGAGAGAAGGCCACGATCTGCTTCATGCCAGTCACAGAGATGGTTCCACCTGGCTCTGAAAATGGTGTGAGCCACCAAACCTTCAGCCAGTCAGGGGAGCACATGACACCTCTGCTCAAGTGTATTTAAGAAACAGCAGCAGCCACTGGAAGAGGAGACACACCTGGACACGCCTGAGGAGACATGCAGCTGGAGAAGCACTCTTGAAAGGAGGTGCTCCATGCCAAAGGTGTGCACTCCCAAAGGGACTGTAGTCCCTGGGTGACCATGCCAGAGCAGAGACAGCCGCAAAGGGACTGTGGCCTGTGGATGACCCATGACAGAGCAGGCACAGTAAGAAGGAGGAGTGGCAGACAGAAACCATTACACACATGACCACAACATCCTGTGCCACCCCTTTCCTCACTGAAGGAGTTGGGACAGACTGAGTGTGACCTGTGGTGAAAGTAAGGGGAGTTGAGACATGGCGGGGCGAGGAGAGGTGTCTGGCTTAAGTGGAGTCTGGAAAAGGGGGAGGAAAGGTGTTTACTTACATGTTTGTTTAATTACCCAACAGTGATTAGAAGTTTGTGTTAGTTGGCAATAAATGAAACGAAGTAAAAAATCCCCAAGTTAAGACTGTTTTGCAAGCAACAAATGCCTGCGCAGAGGCCATGCATGGATTACAAGGGGTGTCACAAAAGCTGGCACACTTGGCAGAGAGCTGCATAAGCAAGTCAGCAGTAAGCAGGAACTTGAGGCATTTGCAGCTCTGACATCTCTCCCGGAGTTACGACCCGAAACTAACGCTTTCTCAGAAAAGAAAGGTGAAGATGGAGCAACTGGGACTCCCAACAGCTGGGAAAGGTGTGCTCAGGTGCTCTCAGCAGAGACTCTATACGTCTCTCACTAGCCCTGGAATGGTGAATAGAAAGGGAGAACTATTTGCTTTAGACTTCTTGCACAGGGTCCAATCTACAGTGCGCCCCATAACGCCCGGCCAGCTCAAGCCTGCTACTGGCATGAAGGGATGCGCATGGTGGGTGGGAATCCTGGCAGGGTGGATGGGGTGAAACACATGTGATGGTGCTCTGTCAGCCCAGCAAAATGTGGGTTGGGATAAAGGGGTCAGGCTGCCCCGGCAAGAGGCAACCTTACGAGTGGAGCATTTAAGAAATGGCAGGAATTGGGGGCAGGTCTTTCAGGCTATCATCTGGGATACAGAAGAAGACAGTAAGTAGCAGCCAGCTGCTGGTGCTATTCTGTCTCTGTGTCCCAAATTCCACTCTACAGTTAGTATAAAGTGCCAAAACCCAGCTTAGTAGCAGCTGTGAATTGCTGAGCGACCACAGTAGAACTACGGCATTCACACAGAACCTGTGAAATCTCAAAAGGGTTAACAAAAGCAAATTGGCTCTAACTGAACAATACGGGGGTCTCTGTTCCTGCTTGCCTTATTTCTTTTCTCCCATAAAAGAAACTTAATAATTGCCTGATCCATGTGCCTCGTGGAAGGAGATAAAAATGTAAAAATAAACCAATACATAAATGACATAAAAGTAATGAAACCGGGTACACAGATTTCATACAAAATTAAATGGGATCAACTTGACATATTCATTAGAAAAACAATTACTCTCATTACTTTATTCCCTGCTACAGCCATCTCACCTTACCTGTCAATTTTAATTTAACTGTTTGCTGGAGGCTCAGGTTCTCTAGCCAAAACATGTAATTTTGAGCAGATGAAGTTAAGTGACAAGTAGTCTGATTCTGCAGGGGACTGAGCACACTGAGCTCCCCACTGCTTGAATAAAACATTGTGAGTGCTCAGGCTCTTTTAAAGACAAAACAGCTTATTGGGGTCACTGATACAGACTTACAGCTGGGCTTTTTCAATGCATATAAAGAAGCCCCGCTGACTTGATCCGTTTGGGGTATACAGCATTTAAAATGCTGAGTTAGAACCCTTTTGGTTCAAGTTTGCCATAAGCTAAACTAGTAAGTGACTAAACTTCCTGTAACTTTTCCTACAAGAGTCATTCAAAGCAAAGCCTTGCCCTGTTTCCAGTCGTCCCTTCAATGCCCAACACATATACAGTGCTGGATAACTAAACAGTTGCTATTTTTAAACCACAGTGACAGTCATCATGCTGGGAGAGGCCAAGCAAGACCAAGACCAAGGTTGGTATGGATAGCCAGCTCTGAGTCGTGGCTGCAGCATGAACAAGATGAGAATGAGCTCCTTCACAGTTAACAGCTGAGGCTTACAGATTTAATGTTTGGAGCTGTTTAGCTGTTTAGCTAGCAGTAGACAGAGGACTCCTTCTATGTTACCTACGAGTGGCACAAAAAAAAGCAGAACAGTGCCTAATGACTTCCCAGACCACGCAGCTAGTGCTGCAGTGACAGCACACTGCACTGGCTGCAATCGAGTGAACACGGTTGCTCTCAGCTAGTCACCCCCAGCTCCTTCTCCCCCTTGGTGTCATCCCTCCCTCAGATCTGCTGCCGTAATTGCTGGTAACAGCTTCCTTAACAGGAATAGAGGCATGGGCCTGTTTCCAACAGATGCCTTTTGCACAATTCTGCTCCAGAAGTTACTGGATGGCTGGCTCACTGCAATTGCTCCTGTGCGGAATTCATACCTGTATTCAGCAACTCCTCCTGCATGCTTCTTCATGGCTGTATCAGAGCTCATTCCATAGAAGAGTTTCACTTTCTTGCCATTCTTTTCCATAATCTCTCCAGCACACTGGTCATGGCCTGCAAACATTCCTCCCAGCATGACAAAATCAGCACCAGCTCCTGTGATCAGCAAAGTGACACATAATAAAGCAGGGAAGGGAGAAGAGGCTGAAAGACAAAGCAAGAACACAGTGGCCTCCAAAAACAATAGCCAGCCCTAAAGAGTTTGGTACAGATAGTCCCCTCCTGTAATAGATGTAGCAAACTTGGAAGAAATGCTTTACTGAAGAACTGACAGGTTGAATTGTATTTCTCTAGTGTTTTAAATTGAAAGAATCCTTTTCTGTTGTGATGACAAAATACAGATTATTCTACTCCACCCCACGCTATTTTCAAATTCAGTTTTAACCCTTTACTTCATAATAGTATCTGAGCACAGTTCCTTATTAACTACTGTTGTGACTGCAGTACTCAGAAGCCCTCATCACAGGGCTGGGACCTGTTGAGCTCACTGCTGTACAGAGAAGAGGACAGCTCCTACTTCAAGACCTTTCTAGGCTACAAGCTGTGAGTGGGAATGTACCCTGAAGGAAGGCATACTCATGAATGTAATGTACTCCTCCCAACACTGTCATAAAACAAGCAGATTTTTTAACAAAATGATGGATTTTTCAAGTCCATCAGCCATATGTGTTCAGTGTAGGTCTGGGTGATCCTTTGTCAAAGAGATCTGGATGGGTCTGCACTTGGTTCCTGTTGTTTAAAAACTCTGGACCAAGGACCACCACCCCTGGTTTCTGTGGTTCTCAGTGTGCACCACAAAGGAGGTCTAACCCATAGCTACAACTCGTAAATATGTTCCAGATACTGAATAACAACACTGAATACTCAATCATGCCTGTTCAGTCTGTCCATCTCCCCTGGCTTTGCAAATCATGAAATCAGTTCCACTGGGAGTAAGATCAGGAAGAAGGTTTTTGGAATCACACTTGATTTTCTACTGTGTTTTCCAGTATTTCCAGCTGGGTTGGAACTATTCCACCAGCAGCTCTTCCTGTGATATTTTGGCATATCTAGTCTTGCTTGGAAAAGTTTGGCTTTTACTCTTTTATGAGCCTGTGGTGACCCATCCCTGAAACAAAGCATTTTCCTGTTCAGACTCTCTGCTTCTTCAATGTATGTGTGTCAGAACAGGCCTCCCCTCTACCCAGCTTCTTCCCAGAACTGGCAAAAGAACAGGGCGATAAACCTCACTTCATAGAAAGTAGATGAGCCTGAACTAACCCCACCCTGTTATCAACGTGTCCTGGGGAGATCCCAGGCTAGGTAAGTCTGGCATTAGGATTTGCTCTGATCTCTGTCGCTATCCAAACAATAGCACTGGACCTTGAAATCTGAAGAGTAAGTGAAATCATTATAAAATCTGCGCAGCTTCTGCCATCTCTTTAAAAGCTCTGTAGACAAACCTGAATTTGGGAATATTTTGATCTCGGAATACATGACAACTGCGGAGTGTGCACTGATTTATAAACACCAGTTCCTTCCCTCCACTCCTTTGCCAAAGAGCAGATCTAGCAGCAATGCTGGGGAGCAGAGCACCCAGCTGCTCTGCTGACCTCACCTCCCTTTGCCTGGTTGTTGTTTGAAAGGAACAGTATGTCCATGGTAAAGGGATATTAAAAATGAGGCTTGTGCAAAACTGTTGAGCACATCACAAGCAATATTTATAGCCAGGCACCCATTCAGGTGTCCTATCATGCCAGCTACCTGGCAGGTTTTTCCTGAGCTCTCTTGTTTCGGATGGCTGAGTTTTAAAGCCTGTTTGACTCATGTCTGATACTACTATTAACCTGCCAAAACCGAAGGGAATGCTCATCCTTTAAGACATTCTCAATTACTGGTGGGGAGGTCCTGTTGTTACCTGGCACAATCTTCCTTCACCTTTGCAAAAAATAAGTACTCTGGGAAATCTAGTTGATGTCTTCTTCATGGGTGGAAGAAAACAACATGAGGAAGGAGGGACGGATTTGGGATCAAGGTTTCAAAGGGGGCATTTAAACAAGTCAAAGGCCTGCCAAAGGACACTCTGGACTCTTTGCCTTGTCAATACTATCCCCTGATCTCCAGTTCTAGTCCTGTCTCTGGTTGTGGGTCTCACAGCCTCCAAATTATTAATGCAAAACAGTCACATGAAATCTACGCTTCAGAACCACAGAATTTTGGTTCCTGTGCACTTAAGTATCTTTTATTATTTTTCTTTTGACTGCGTATTTTGGGAGGAAAGCAAATACGTTTGAATTACAGGATTGAAAATCATCCAACTTGAGTAACTTTTGCAAACTACAACATAATTCATCAAGCTCTTCCAGAAGAGAGGAGCTATGTTACAGCAGACGCAGCACGTCTAAACATTGGAATGACACATGCTTACTGCCCTACAGTTCCAGGAATGACAAGCCCATATTAAAGATACTTTTCCAGTGCTCTCCAGAACTTTCCACCCAGCTTCAGTGTTGCGAAGATGTCTGAAATTTTCAAGTCTGTTCCACTACTTTTCTACCAGATAATATCCAACCAGGAGGCTGTAGATTTTAGCATGGTCTTTCTTTACTTATGCATGGGGTTTTGTATGACCAGAAGCATTGGTGATGTTTGCAACACCCAGCTGCAGTCTTTCATTTTCAAGTAAAGAAAGATAGACAGTGAGCCATTTTAGGTTGTGGGGGACTGGCAACACCTGGCAACAACTCCCTAGATAATACAGGATGTGATGGGGTACGTTGCATACAAGCATCCCAGTAGCTCGCCTAGAGTTTGCTAAACTCGTCCTGTTTCTACACAATGCCTCTTCAATGCACTGACTTCCCCCTTGAGGCCTACGCTGTATCTGGGCTGATTTTGCTCATTCACATATCACAGTGCCTTCTCTTTTCAGCCATTACAGAATATGTGTGCTGACGCCACCTCAATCTTACAGCACTCACACAGTTCTGCTGGATCTGTATGGAGTCCCTCAGATGTCTTTTGTATGCCTGATAATACAAGTTACTGATAACCATATTGGCTCTGCACAAATTCAGCTGGAGTCAGCCTGGATTTCTAGCCTGGGCAGCCCTCCAGGCAGATGCAGCCTAAGTTTGCCTGGACCACAGCTGGCCCTGGAATCAACATTCACCTGTGCTCCAGCTGAGCCAGCGAGCCTTTGCAACTGTAGGTATACAGACACAGCTATTGAAAATAGGAAAAAAAAAGCCAGTATGATCTGTCAGGTATATTTTGGAACCAGTATATGTCCCCAGTTGACTTTTCCACATGATTTTTCCTTCCTTTTCCTTCCCTGCTCCTGTATCTCTTCTCACCACTGCTGTAAGAACAGCAGTATTGTGTTAAAGATGCTGGCATAGGATTCAAAAGGCACATTCTGTTCCTGGCTGTGTCACAAAAATATATGTGACCTCAGGCAATTGAACTTAGTATTTCTGAGCTTTGACTTCTCATCTTTAAAAAAGGAGACAGTAGTGCCTCCCTGGGGCATTCTGAGAAATGTGTTCATCTTATCAGCCTTTCCAAGGGTGCAGTTATGTGAACCATCTGAGAGCCCAACACAAAGTTCTTTAATGCTTTCTCTCATTCCTGCATCAAAACACCTCTTTTCTTCCTGATCAACCTACATCTTTTCCATTATCATCTCCAATACCCAGATGGCAGCAACATCTTCAGTTTCCCATCCAGCAGTTCCAGAATTCCAGCAGTCTCTCCCAAAGTATCTGTCACTCCCAGCATTTTTGTCCCCCACTTTCAGTGCTTCTCTGCTCCTTGCCTTTTCAAATAGGCTTCTACCTTGTTTCCCCTCTGTCAAAATGCCTAATCTGCCTCTGACTCCTGACACCAGTCAATGGTGTCACCTTCCACTTGTAAAGCTTCTCAGCATCTTCTTCATGATTCTTTGAATTCTTTCACAATTCTTCACTTGCACTCAATCCACTCTACTCCTCCTGTTCCCATGAACTTGCCTCCTCCAGTCACATTTTTAGCTATTTGTCAATGCTAGTCTTCACATCCGGGACTCCCTCACACTTTTAATAATTCAAATGGCTGCTTTGTCACTGCTTTATAATCATAGAATCATTAAGGTTGGAAGAGACCTCCAAGATCATCGAGTCCAACCGTCAACCCAATACCACCATGCCCACTAAACCATGTCCCTAAGTGCCGCATCTACACGTCTTTTAAATACTTCCAGGGATGGTGACTCAACCACTTCCCTGGGCAGCCTGTTCCAATGTTTAACCACTCTTTCAGCAAAGAAATTTTTCCTCACATCCAATCTAAACCTCCCCTGGCACAACTTGAGGCCATTTCCTCTCATCCTATCGCTTGTTACTTGGGAGAAGAGACCGACACCCACCTCGCTACAGCCTCCTTTCAGGTAGTTGTAATGAACACCTCAACATCCCTTTCATTAAGACTTTACAATGATCCACCAAAAAGAGAAAGTATAATCACTTTAACAAAAAGTCCTCTGTGGGTCTCTTGTCCGTGCTTTGTTCAGGCCTCCATCGCCAGGGAAATTGTACATCTGTGTGTTTTATCACCCAGTCTCTGCTATCCAATATATTTATGTAACTCTTCCCCCACAAGAGGCTCTCAGCAAGCACAGAGGTCTGTGCTAGACAATTCAGTATCAGTATCAAGGCTTTGGCTTGTAAATGCTGGGCATGCAGGCTATCTTCTATGTGGCTCACATAGCCAATCACCTCAATAGCATTCAATAAACACTGATAGTAATAACATCATCTAGAAGCTTATTTTGCTACACACCTTTGACAAATGCACACCTGGCTCCAGCTAGTCAGATGTCCACAGTGTGTCTACCTCAATTATACGTAACCAGATATGGTAAGTTTATTGCCTCAGGGTAATGTCTATCAGTTCCAGCCCTACTGTCAGAGTAGAACTATTGCCTGTATAATCTCAGCTTTCTGATGCTCCTCTGTCCCAGGGACAACACGTGGTAGCCTTCAAACACATACCACTATGAATCCCAGCACCTCCTGACAACCAGCAAGGTCAGAATCTGCCTTCTCACAAGTTTCAAGTAAGTTTCTGTTCAGTTAGCCCAAAGAGACTACAAGGACCCTTCAGACTTGCTATAAACATCACAAAGGAAAACATTTTAAACACTTCGAAGTTGCTTCCTGTTGTTCTAACTTCTGGAAATGCTCTTGTTGAAGAAAGACCTTTTCCACAGGCCAGGTTTCTGTGCAGGCAGGTGGGAATGCAGTGAGGTTGCAATCTCAGTTCACAAGCTCCCAACGACAATACCAGCAAGAACCGGGTGAGCTGTGGAGCCAGAGAAAGTCAGGCAGAACAAAGGCCTCACTGCAGGCAGCATGTGGGCCGGGCTGAGGAGAGGTTGGGTGTTTTTTTAATACAATCTTGTTGTCAAAGAGGGTGGATGCCGCTGTTCAGCTATGTCAGAATCACCCAAATGGAAGTATCTATTCCCTACGTCACGTCAGCCACTGGGTAACACAAGGGTGAGGTGAAATCCTGTGACTGAGCAGATTCCTTGCTGGTAGCAATCACTCCACGGCTGTGCTTAAAATTCTCTAATTAAGCCTTCCTTGTCATCTGACCTGTCTAAAAACAGGAGCTGTCTGCAAACTTAGAAGACAGATTTTGATTTCAACCTTTCCAGGAGGCCCAGAGTTTTTCTTGGCAGGTCTGTAATCTGAGTTTAGGCCTGCCTGTGCTTTCCATACTTGCAAAGCTTCCTGCCAAGCAGACATGCTGTATCATAATGTGCTCTCTCTTGTATCGTACCGCCTTGAAATCCCAATGAAAGACTGTGCTGTCCCACTATATTCCAGGTATTACCCCACTGTGACATCTCCAAAGGATTTGGCATTTTGGAGGATGGGGGAGTGTCTTTAAATGTCCTGTCAGCCCAGGATGCGTTTAGCGCCTGGTTCACACATGCTGCTGCAACAAGGTTATAGCTAAGTGACAATCCTGACCTTGACCCCCTCCCACCGATGTAACTTTTATGCCCAACAGAAAATACTCACAGATTAAATTCTCTATTCTATCAGCAAGAGCTGGTGCAATTCACTGAAGCTATTGGCATGAGATTAAAATCTGTTAATTATTAACTTAGATGTTTTAGACATCTGCTCAGCCCTGGGGGATACAGTATAAATAAAATCTCATCTCTTCAAGCGGACAGCTGATCCCAAGAACATCTCCACGGATCTGGCCTGCCTTTTTGTTTTGTTCTTCTGTCTAACACACATTCCACCATCTCTTCGTCCATCCAAGGCCCAGGTCAGCCAGATCTGGCAATGTTACAGGCATCTTTGAACCCTACTCAGAAGAAACCCTTATCAGTTTTCTTTGTATTACTGTCCCAGTGGCTGTATCCCATGCACACCTGGCAGATAGTTTCTAAATAGGACTTCGACCACTGTATGTTTTGCACTGCCTGTCTGGTCCAAAGAGCAAATTCATGTCTGGTGTATTAATTTCACTGGAGTCACCCACAGGGACGAATGTAACCTATTGCTGATTACACATTCAGGGTCAAATTGACTCCTGCATCACTGCTGACGGTGCTGGAGATATGCAGGCTGTAACGGGTGCCATGACACACTGTCCTTACCAAACGCTTTGGCGACATCTCCTGGGCAGCTGCATCCTCCATCCTGCATAAAGAAAAGACGACAGTGAGTGGCAGTGAGCTCACTCAGGGACCCGCAACAGAATGGCCTCTGCTCAGGAACAGCGTGTCAAGAGCTGACTGTGCACCACTGGTATACATCATCTTGGCTGAGTTTTTTGGCATCCATATTACCCTTTCTACTGCTTTCCTTCTTTAGGCTCATTTACTTTACCGTATAGTCTACTGATAATACCACTGGTAACAGCAGCAATGCAAATTCCTGACTGCAATTTCCTAAATCCCAGAAACTGGAAAACAAAACCTCCTCTGATGATCTGAATCATTCCTTGCCATTTTAATGAAAGGCTGTGTGATGCAGAGGTACCACAAACCCCTACCTTAAACCACCAAAGACATTTAAAATAACTTTCTCAGCAGTTTACAACACATTAAAAGGTCACAGTGGGAGGGGTGAGGAAATATACCATCAGCTATGTTGGATTTTTATCTGATAATCTCTAAGCAAATTGGGTAATCTAACCTTTGGTAAGCGAAAATGAATCTCTCATCATACTCCTCACTGTTTGCTATGGGTTTGGTAAAGAAACAACAGCACTTTGAGATCTTTAGCATTTTAGATGTATGTGTTTCAGTTTCAGTGCAGAGCAAAGAAGTGGCTGATGAGGGGGTTTCGGTTGAGGGGAGGGAAGTTATGTATGTGTGATAGGGCTGTAAAAAAGGAATGGTACATAGCAGAGCTCGTCATGTGCTATGGTTCTTTAGGTTTCATGAAGGTCTGAGCATCAGATGAAAGATCCTTTTACACAGTCATTGTACCAAGAGGGCTCCCCATTCCTTTGATGATCAGGGTCCATTGCGGACAGCTGACAGCTTTCCTGCTTTTGAAGCTACTCCCCAGACTGTGTGGTTACTTCATTTTGTTTCACCTCCCTGTTGGCAGAAATGCATGCCTGTGTGTGACCTGTGGCTGAGCACAGCCAGACATCCCCACCATCAGCCATTTTAGAGCTGGCTTTCGTGGGTAGCTGGCAGTGGGGCTGAGTGTTAGAATCTCTCTGTGCGCAGAAAAGGATTCAGACACAAACTGAGCAGGTGGATCTGAAAGCGAGTGGCTTTTCAAAGGGCATCCCACTGCAAACAGCGCCTGGTAGAACTTTAAAGGCTTTTATTCCATTTGCTGATAACCTCTAGCACATTATGCCTTTTGTTGAGCTAGACACTCTTGCTGTCAGCTCCAGAAAGGAGTGCTGGGCTGACAGCTGAATCTCTTTCTCCTGTTAAGGGCTCTGCTTGTGCAATTCTCTCCCTCCGACAAGTCTGTCAGAGCCTGGAGGAGGGTGTGAGTGTGTGTGCCTGTGTCAGGGGAGGAAGAGTCGAGGTAGAAAGAGAGGTCTAATAATCTTCAAAAAGAGTAGTGTCAGGAATTTGCCTGAATCTTACTGTCTGACTGAGACAGGCTGGCTATGAATGCTCTCTGGTAGATGGGTTTCAGTCTGTTCTTGTTGGGTGGCTCAGTGTCTGACTTTTATAATTAACCCAGTAGTGGCAGTGATGGAGGCTTTATGCTTTCGGAAGTACCATGGGGATGGAGGCCTTAGTGTGTAATCATTAATCATCGGCTTCAAAAAAATATCACTTTGAATGTCACCAAATTACAAAATGCTGAGCAGATTAAGAGACTTTCCCAAACGCTCATGAGTTAGTTACCATTTAAGATAAAAGGAACCGATGATGATTCACAGCACTTCTTTATCTGTAGATGTCTCCACTTACTTCACATAAGCAGGTAAATTTAATGATTCACAGCAAGGGAAACAAAAAGGGGACATACTAAGCAGTTATGCCAGAAGATGCTATATAATAAAGCTATATGCATTAAACCACTTCATTCCATGTGAAAAATCAAGTACTCTGTTTAGAAAATAAGACTGTGCTTCTGCTGCATTGTCTGGCAAGCTTCCCCTTGCAGTTCAGCTCGTCCCAACAGGGGCCTGCCTCTGGACTCAATGACTTTTAGAACTGCTGGGCTTCAGTCATGGAGCTTGTTGCGGGCTCAGCCTCTACCTCAGAGCCCTGGGGAAATGTATCTGTACAAATCCCCCTGTGAATTCAGGAGAACTGGCATTATTCTGAAGTAAGCCTACTGGAAAGGGTGGCCATGGGGCCTATAGAGGGCATGATTCTGAGACAACTGGATGCTAAGCTGAAGGAGAGAGGAAAACAGCTTTCCAGTCAACAGAATTATTTTAACGTGGCTAAAATAATGTTATTTTCCCCAGTCTTGTTCTCCGGACAGATAAACCATTTTACAACAACAAAATTTAGCCTGAGGAAAAAAAATACAGTACGGAAAACCAGTATGAACTGGTTGAATATTTAATATTATATGCAACTTATAATAAGTTTGTAACTATGATTTATATGTTTCAAACAACCTTTATAATAAACTGTATAACCAGCCCTTCCTACAGTATCAGTAAACAGATAGCTATTTATAGAAGATATATAAAATATGTGGCATATACAGTAGTAAAAACAATACATATGGTGCTTTATTCTGAACTATATATGCTGGCCATATTTCTGTGTGGAAAGTGTTCTGTGTGGAGGAAGAGCAGTAGCTGGGTGAAGAACCCCTTAGTCATCCTTTCCACGGAACGCTGGTGGCTCATCACCCAGACAGGGTGAAGGTGAAATAGGGATCTCTATCAAATGATTGCCATATGAGAGAAGACACATGCAAGGCTGCTTTCCATTCCCCACATTGCTGGCTTACTAGAATACGTGACTGCCTCTCTACCCGGCAGAGTAGTTCTCTGACCTACAAGAAACAGAAACTTTATCTCAAGTAGGGCGTTTCTGAAGGAGCTCTCCTGCTAAATGGCCCCTCCACTGTAACTCACTGCTGCACTTTCTCAAGGCCAATGGATTAGCGAGAATCAAAATTGAGACTACTGGCTCCCAGACAAACAGCACGGGACAGAAACAGTGCCTGTATCTTAGACAGGGTTTCCTCTCTCAGTGAGTCATGAAAGAGTCATTTCTGAGGTGAGCTTTGAGTCTTAAAGATAATTTAGCATGAGGAAAGTAACTGGTGCAATGTCACCTCCCCTTTCTCTGTGTAAGTGACTCTCTAGAGAAACACCAGGCATTCACTTGGACTACCATGTTTGCCTAAAAATTGTCACCTTCTTTATCAACGTATCAGCTCCAAAAATTACACATGATCACTTCAGCAATACAAACATTTAAAATCCCAGTTTGTGCTGCCATCCTAGCAGAGCTACTGCAGAATGGTCTTCAAGTGTGCTGTGTTTCTTGCAGTACCTGTACTGTGCTCATCACCGTCACTTTCTCATTCCATGAGT